AGGCAAGTGATCTACTGTCACTGGTAAGCTATATGATGTTTGTTTTATTTTATTTTCAAGACAGGGTTTTTTTTTTGTTTTTTTTTTTGCTGTGCTGGATCTAGCTCTGTAGACTAGGTTGGCCTTGAACTCACAGAGTTCTGCCTGCCTCTACCTCCCAAGTGCTGGGATTAAGGGCATGTGCCACCACTGCCTGGTGCTATATGGTATTTTTATTAGTATTTTTAGGTAGGGTCTCATGTAGCTCTGGCTGCCCTTGACTTTGCTGTGCAGTTGAGGACAAATTTGAATTTCTAACCTTCCTTCTACCTTCCAAGATCTGGGATTACAGGTATGCACCACCATGCCTGACTTTGTTTGTTTGTTTGTTTGTTTGTTTATGTGTGTTTTTGGTTTCCTTTTTGAGACACGGTCTCATATGTAGCTCTAGCTGTCCTGGAACTCGCTCTACAGACTAGGCTGGCCTTGAACTCACAAAGATCCACCTGCCTCTGCTCTCTGGGTACTGGGATTAAAGGCGTGCGCCACCACACCCAACTGCAGGAATGTAAAGGTAAGAGGACATTTTTCGAGGAGTCAGTTCTTCCCTTCCCCAGGAACCAGACTCAGGCTGTCAATCTTGTATGGTGAGTGCTTTTACCTCCTGAACCAACCTCACCAGCCTCACCAGCCAGCCATTGGTTAACTACTTAATTACAGTATATAGGTTTCATTTTTTAAATTTTATTTATTGAGACAAGGTCTCACTATAAAGCTCTAGATCAGTGGTTCTCAACCTGTGGCTAGCAACCCCTTTGGGGATCAATGACCCTTTCACAGGGGTCTCCTAAGATCATTAGAAAACAAATATTTCCATTACGATTCATAACAGTAGCAAAACTACAGTTATGAAGTAGCAACAAAGATAATGTTATGGTGGGGGGGGGGGAGTCACCACGACATGAGGAACTGTATTAAAGGGTCACAGCATTAGGAAGGTTGAGAACCACTGATCCAGATGCTCTGTAGACCAGGCTGACCTGGAACTCTGAGAGATCCTCCTGTCTGAGAAAGGATTTACTTCATTTCCTGTGAGAATTTTGCCTACAGGTATGTGTGTGTACCATATGAATGCCTGGTGCCCTCAGAGGTCAAAGGAGGACATTGGATCACCTGAACTGGAGCTAGTGATGTTTGTAAGCTGCCATGTGCTTTCTGCCACACACACACACACACACACACACACACACACACACACACACACACACACACACCTTCTGCCCTCTAACTACTCCAGCCTCTAAGTGGATGGGAGACTCTGGTCCTTAGAGATTCCTCTGCAAATTTTTGCCCTGAATAAAGGTCTGCACTGTCATAAGCTGCTTGTCCCTTGTGTGTCTTTCAAAGTCACACACAGATGTAAGAGTAGAGGAGAATGATATGGGCAGGGTGGTGGGATGCAGCATCTGCAGAAAGTTCAAGTAGCCCCTATCCAGACCAGAATGTATTTTTGACAACTTTTACTTGGGAATAAACATGAGCTAAATTCCCAGAGCTACATGAAAATGGAATTAGAAATGTAAGAACAAGAGGCCGGAGAGATGGTTCAGCAGTTAAGAGCACTGGTTGTTCTTACAGAGGACCTGAGTTTGGTTTCCAGTACCCACATGGTGGGCTGACTGTAACTTCAGTTCCAGGAGATCTGGTGCTCTCTATTGAGCTCCAAGGGCATCAGACACATATGTGGTACACAGACATAGATGAAGGCAAAAGTCTCACACACATAAAATTAAATAAATCTAAGGAAGAAGAGGAGGAGGAGGAGGCCGTAGTGTTGGGAAATCTCACTTGGGTCACATTGTTCCTCTTCCTCAAGTCTGGACAGTACCAGGGGAGAGGTTTGCTTGGGTCTCTGCTTTTTTTTATTCTTTTTATTTTATTTTATTTTATTTTACAATACCATTCAGTTCTACATATCAGCCACGGGTTTGGGTCTCTGTTTTTAAATGGAAAGAGAACTAGTAAAAGCTACAGGCTTCTCAAGTACTCAAAGATAGAAGTCCATTCCACTCTCCTCCCAAGCAAACTGCTGGAGGTGATGGAGAGCTAGATCAACTTGCCTCAGGTCCAAAGAAAAGGCCACAGAGACCACATACATCTTAGTGGTACCTATGTCCTAACAGCTGTGATACTCAATCCAAGCCAGTTTCATCCCCTCGCCTACATATTTAAGTGAGCTTTCTTTAGAAGCACTATAAGAACTTACCTTGATCTCTTAAATAGCTAGTCATGTCAATGACCCCTTGGAGAGAAGGAGAGGTGTAAAGTTAGACCTGCTTGGTCTAGGAACTCCACTCACTCAAAAGGCCCACACAATGATCATACCATGAGAACGAGGGAGACTGCCACCCATGAACATGTCAGGGGTATGTATGAGATAGATATGTTCAGCTCAGCCAAAATACCACCCTACTGCCTGACTCCGACATGAGTCATCTTCAGTGATACATTTCTGTGAATAAAGCCTCTGGATCCACCTGTTCCATGCCATCCACCCAGCAAATCTCTCTAACCTTGGAGCCCGGCCTGCATCACTATCCAACAGCAGATGCCAGGAGTTGGAATTGCGCAGCCAGAGGATACAGGCGGTGGCTGCCCCAACCAGAAGTCCTGGCAGTACCAGCTAGCAGTTCTGCTGACTAGCAAAGTCTACAGTGGCCACGGGGCAGTTGCAGCCCAGACAGGAGTCCCACTCAACACCACTAGAAAGCAGCCCAGCCAACTAGGAACACACAGCAAACTCTGCTCACCCAGATCATTGGGTCCTTCCAGAATCAAATGCTAGACCAAACACTGAAGGTCTACCCTTGCCAAAGACTGTCTCTGTACAGGTCAGCAGGCAGGCGGGGGGGG